GCCGAACATGCTCAGCATGTTCGGCTGACGCGAAGTGCAGAAGGAGTTCGACTCAGCCGATCCAACATCTGGCTCGGGTGAGCCCAACCTCCGGCAGGCTACTCACTGCTGTTCGGCCTATTCTCATAGATGCCGAACAGCAGTGAGTGAATAGGCGAATGCCGCTGAGCGTCATTCGGCTCGGCTGTTCTGCTCGGTCCATCGGACCGAGCAGAACAGAAAAATAGTTTTAAAAAAGTAAATAGATAACGATTGTGCGGAGCTAGCAATGACAGCTAGCTCCGCCCAACAGTTTTCTATTGTCCGGCGGTTCTGCTGCCGTAAAAGAAAAAAAAATAATCTCCCAGGCGCTCTGGGAGCCTACCGCTCCTGGCCGCCCAGGGGAGAAACACTGATTTTTCTTTTTTTTCTTTATTCTGACACGGAGCCGTGTCAGAATAGAAAAAAAACAAAAAACGTTTTTGCCCATTGTGCATTGCTATACAATCGTTTTCTATTTACTTTTTTTTTACTTTATTCACTCTTGAATAAAGTAAAAAACTGCTGAGCATGTTCGGCCGACCCGAAGCCATGTGAAATCAGCCGTACCAGCCTGAAGTGAATAGCCGAACAGTGTTCGGCTCACTTCACTTGGGGTCGGTTGTTCATTTGGCTGCCCTCGGCAGCTTAGTGAATAGACCCGTATGAGTGAGTTGGGTCAGATTGCCAGGAAGGTAGGTCTAGACAAGCCAGGCAGTGAAGACTGATTTAAAGGAGAACTATGGGGTTAAGTCTTTTCCCCATAGTTCTCCTAAGGGTAACGGGAGAACACAAACTAGCGTTCTCCTGTGACCCAAAGCTCAGTATACCGTGTGTTCGCTCACTTCTCCATCTACTGAGCCAACCTGTGACAGTTTCATCGGCTAGAACTATGTTCCAGTAGTACTGTTCTTGAAAAATTAGTGTCAGCTTTTTGAATACCCAAAACGGATTAAACCTGTTCTGAAAGAAAATTCCCACCTGCAAACACCTACCTGTTCCAGATCCTTGACTATTTCCATAGTAGTCATTAAGCTGTCCCACTGCAGTCTGTATGGTCCGGGTCGGATATAGTCAACTATTTTGTTTGTAACATTTTTCACGACTCCTTCAACCTTGTAACTTTACCAAAAACAGTAGGGAAAGCTGTCAGAAAATCCAAGAAGGTATGCAAGAAATTCTATTTTATACATTAGAGATGGCAAAGCCAAGTTTATATCATGGAAACTGCATTGGATACAAACCGGTTGAGGTCTTTGCTGGTGCTTGAGAGTGTATTTGTTTTATCTAGAGTTAAGTGCTGCTAATTTTATATGATCATATTTTATCCTATAGTTCTGCATTGTTACTAGGGATGCACCGAAATTGAATTTTGAGACTGAAACTGAAACAAAAAAAATTGTCAGACCGAAGCTGACTTTTTTCCCCCAATCTTTAACCCCTTCATGACTGAGCTTGTTTTTAGTTTCTGTTCGTAAATGACTGACACACTTTTGACATTTTTGCTGTGTGATTCTTCCACGTCAGTAATATACTTTCTTACAAAGTGCACCCACACATATTATATATTGTTTTTTAGAGGACAGATAGGGCTACATATTTATATCACATATGTGTGTCTAACGCCTCACTTAGGACAAATAAAATATAAAAAAAGAGAAAAAAAACGAACACTTTTTTCCCAGTTTTGATTTGTAGTTTTTTTTTTACAACACCAGCACAGCTAAAAAAAATGCAATAAATACATTAATTTATTTGTCCCTTATTTTATTTTATGACACTTTTTTTTTTTACACTTTTCACAATTTCTTTTTTTTTTTTTACACTTTTCACTTTTTTTAAACTTAAATATTGTATTTTATTTATTTAATTATATCAAGCAGTCATTGTGAATTAATCTCACTGTTACTGCTTGATAAATTAATAAATTTTTGGTTATTATCAGGCTGCTTCAAACTTCAGAACAGCCGATAATAAGTTAGTGACACTGATCCTGCAGCAGTTCAGGATTCAGCTGTCACTAAAGGTTTTCTGATTGTTGCAACAACGATCAGCAAACTGAAACATTCTTCTTCCAGGAATAGATACATTATAGGAATAGACACATTATGTATCTATTCATGAAAGAAAAAAAGAAAAAAAAGCCAGTATAGCTTGAGAGAGATATCTCTCTCGATCTATACGAGCTGTCAGAATGCCGGCAAAAGCCGGCATGTGTGTCCCTCTGCTTTGACTCTCAGACACCCGATATTAAGGTATCGGGTGTCTGAAAAAGGTTAACCCTTTCATTAATGAATGCCTCTGTAGTAAGGGCAGCCATTAATGAATGTTAAAAGCTGATTCTCAGCGATTAACAGCCCTCTAAAGCAGCAAATAACTCGTCACGTACAGTGTACGTGACAAGTCATTTGGTCCCTTTGTGGCTGGACGTACAGTGTACGTCTCCCGTCATGAAGGGGTTAAAAAAGTTTTTACATTGTTTTTCAACTATTTTATTTATTTATTTTACTTATAGGGGCTTCGGGGAAATATTGGGGGTCTAGACAGACACCTGATATTTCCTTTTTAAAATAGAAAAAGAGATTGAGGACACAGGGTCCTCAATCTCTTTTTCTGCAGCCCCTGTTATAAATGAACAGGAATCCTCTATACTGAGTGTTTCTTTTCATTCATAACACGTGGAGATAGTATGCTTACCACGTCCACAATCATGAATGAACAGGAGGTGATGTAGATCACTTCCCATTCATTCATAACTGGACACAGTAAAAATACTATGCCCAGTTATTTACAAATACTCAGCGATCAGTGAGTGTTTGTATACCACTCTACGTTCTGAATCCGCTGTCAGAAGAGGGGGGCGGGTGGGGGAGAAGAGCTCCGCCTCCTGTGACAGATCACAGGACTCTCCTCCACTCACCGGTCTCCATTCTGACACAGGAGGCAAAGCTCTCCTCCCACACCTCCTGGCTCCGCCTCATGTGTCAAAATAGAAAGTGGTGAGTGGATGAGAGCGCTGTGATGTGTCACAGGAGGCGGAGCTCTCCTCCTCCACACACAGATCACAGCTGTCGCCGTCCCGCACCGCTCCCCATCCTGACACAGGAGGCTGAGCCGGGAGGAGAGCTCGGCCTCCTGCAACAATCACGGCCTGCACCGCTCGGCATCCTGAAAGCTTCTCCCCTTCCCACTGGGTGTCGGCGCTGCATTGGAAGGTACACAGAGCGGCGCCCAGTGGGGAGAAGAGAAGCTAGGGATACACTAAATTTTCAGCTGTCATGGCACTTTCGGCATTTTGTATTTCGGCCAAAATGTTTTGGTGCCCGAAATTTGGGTGCATCCCTAATTGTTACCCTGTATCATCCAATCATTGTTCTGTTGTTATCAGTGTATGTTTTTATCACTCATAAGCCAGTGCACAGGTCTTCCTCATAATATTATTTTCTCTTCTGGCTGAATGTTCTTAAAGGTGAACTCCAGGTATGCAAAAAGTTAACCCTTGCAGTGGCACTAACTGTTAATTTCTCTCTAGTGGCCGGAATACAGAAGATTTGCTCACCTGATCCTCGGTCCTGCGGCAGTGAGTGCTCACCTTTCTCCCCTCTGCTCCAGCTGTGGTATGTCCCTCTGTGTCCCCACATCTAGTACTGGTAAATAGACTGCATTAGATGTGATGATGTCAGCAGGGCTTAGAGGAAGAAGAGGCTGCAGGGACTGGTCTAGGAGCCAGCCGAGACCGAGAGTTAGGTGAGTATATTTCTTTTATTTGAGCCCCTACAGAAAAAACAGCAGTTAACTCTTGCAGTTGTGGGTAGCCTCACTGCAGGGGTTATCTTTTTACATTCCTGGAGTTCCTCTTTAACCCCTTCATGACTGAGCTTGTTTTTAGTTTCTGTTCGTAAATGACTGACACACTTTTGACATTTTTGCTGTGTGATTCTTCCACGTCAGTAATATACTTTTTTACAAAGTGCACCCACACATATTATATATTGTTTTTTAGAGGACAGATAGGGCTACATATTTATATCACATATGTGTGTCTAACGCCTCACTTAGGACAAATAAAATATAAAAAAAGAGGAGAAAAACTTTAAAAAAAACCTTTTTTCCCAGTTTTGATTTGTAGTATTTTTTTTACAAAACCAGCACAGCTAAAAAAAATGCAATAAATACATTCATTTATTTGTCCCTTATTTTATTTTTTACACATTTTTT